AGATTTTAGTAATCAGCCGTTATACTGTTAAAAGGAGACCCTTAACTCATGTCTCGAGGTGGGTGGTGGCATTTATGTTGTAGATGTTTATGAGCTCCGGTAACTGCTCAACACCAGGTGATGATAAGTATCCGTTCGTCCACCCATCTAAGCAATAAAATAATAATTAAAGTATACATAATAGCTACATTATGTATATGTGTCTGAAAGACAAAAAAACATATATTTTAAATAATAGACTTTTTTTATATTTTTTTATTCTTTATTAGAGCCATAATAGACTTTAAAGTATTTAAATATTGCTTCGTTGCTTACAGAGCAATACATTAATACTTATGTAGGACCTCACCATGGTCCTCCTCAGTCAGACAATTTTCCTGGTATTTTCCTTTCCACAATTTTCCACCCCACATGAATACAATATTCAATCGCTTTGTTTTCTTCTTAGTAGATTCTAACCCCTGATCTTCTAGCTTAATTTGCCTCTTTGTAATAAGGTGACAATCAAAAAACATGCATATATATCTGATCATGACTGATACAAGGGTGGTGTTTCATTCCCTTAAAAAAAATCATAGAAGTTCTGAAAATAGGACTTTGCATTTTATATTTTATTATAAATAATACATATTAAATACATTTATATTTTTAGTTCAGATGAAATTAGTTTATAGATCAGATAGATGAACAAGAACCAAAAATATCCAGTTAATTATTTTTAATGGAATATTTCACTTTCCACGTGAAGCAACTAATTAAGATACTTGATAAGTTGAAAAGCTCAAGTTATAACTAAAGTTCAGCGGAGCCCTTAAGGGTTATTCTGTTCGAAATTAAATTGTCCTTCTTCTTGTTTCAGTTTAGTTCTAAAACGTTAATTATTGCTTTCATTTAATTTATTAATTGAGATTCAAATTTTTTTCGCCTTTTAGAAACCGGTCGAGGTGCGCTCACTGACCTCCTCGCCTTCAGTGGTTACTGGAGACCCATAGATGTGAATATTGCCGCACACACTGAAACTATTTGCTGCCAAATGTCATGGTATGTAAAAGTAAGGTTGTTTTGTATCGAGCGATGCGACGGTACCGAAGTACCGGCAGATGCCAATTATTCTAATGAACTATGTACTTAGCAAATGCGAACGAATAACATTATTAGGATACAATAGGACGTCTTGTGAGTCCGCATGGGTAAGTAATCTACTTATTTCTGTCGCGAAACTGCCATGCGTTCCGGTTTCAAGAGAGGGACAGTCTTTTTACTATAACTGAAATTTAGACCTCAAATCTTAAGATGGTGGTGGATCAATTGGATGGATAGTGGCATTTACGTTGTTGATGTCAATGGGCTCCTGTTATCACTTAGCATCAACTGGTTGGTGAGTTCGTCCACCCACTTTTTACTGGTGATATGACGTCTTGCCAGTCCGCACGGGTAGGTACCATCTCCCTGCCTATTTCTGCCGTGAAGCGTAGTATTGTGTTTCGATTTGAAGGGTGGGGTAGCCCTTATACTGTAAAAACTGAGACCTCAAGGAAGGTGGCGGCATTTACGTCGTAGATGTCTATGGGCTCCAGTAACCGCTTTACACCAGGTGGGCCGTGAGCCTGTCCACCTATCTAAGCAATAAAAAAATAAGCAATAAAAAGTCTACTTACATAGTGTCTGGTCTCACTTAATCCATGAGCTTAAAAAAAACTAGAAAAAAGTAACATTTGCATCTATCATTACTGATCAAACCTAAAAGTGTTTCCATACGGTTTTAATGTTCTAAAAAACAAAACCAACGTAGCTCTTAATCTTAACAGTTTAAGGCACAAATTCCTATAATCCCAACATTGATTGACGAAGCTGAATCAAGCATATTTGACAAAAAAAAAAACGTAAGCGGCTCTGTAACGACTGCGTGTTATCTCAATGTATCTGAGAGGCAAGTTTTGTATAAGTCAACAGGTTTAATAAGAGCTCAGTCATTGAGTTATTTGGTCAGTGGTGTCATACTTAAAACCAATATTCGTCGTGATTATAATTACTAAGTTAGACTAACAAAAAGTTCATTGTTTAAGGGGATTTGCTTTTTAATTAATACTGAATTTGTTCGGCGTATGTGAACAATGACGTCATTATTTAAATTTAGCGTGCTCTCTGCTTAATACGAAATTAAAACAGCTGTTGATTTCTTATACCAGCATGGATTTATAGTTTTCCGTATTGAGATGTAGATAATTTTTTTATCAATTAAAAAAGGCATCTAATTAATTAATATCTACAATTTAAAAAATTTTTAGAACGTTCCTTATGGGACGATGCGGAGGGGTACCCTAACCGGGAAAAAACGTCCGTAACGTAAGATTTTTATTATTTATGTATGGTCTTGTATGATGGCTATACAGTGTCTAATAGATAGGCTACGTGATGACGGTTATTATTATTATTCATATAAATAGCAAATTCTTTGTATATTATTATTATATATTTTTTATAAATCATTGTGAATTTAAATAAAGTTGATAACTTTGTAAAGTAGTTTTTTTTATCAATAAAAAAATGTATACCTCGAATAGAATTTAAAATAAATATTTTTATAATAAGGAACTTCGTTTCTATCCGGTGTCCCAGGACATCACACATCTTTTTTTATATATCCAATACAAGGTACGAATAGAGTCAACGTAAAAAACACACAGCCAAGCGACAATTTCGAACAAGTAGAGTTATACGCAGCATTTATAACAGGAGATTCACAATACAGGCAATAGGGGGATAGGGGAGGTGCGGGCAAGTCCGCCTTTGGGAAATCATCGAATCAATCGATTACACAGACTCCATCTGTCTTTAAGTGATAACAGTTTTCTGACAATGACGGAGTGCCTTCACCCGTTTGCGAGGTATATTTTTTTCGTTCGTTTCCTTTTAGGAAATTGCGTTTCTTTAAGTGGGATTTTGTTAGGTATTGTTCATGTCGTTAGGCCGTTAGGATAAGTCGGTGCGAATAGATTCTGCGGATTCGATCGATGGTCATACCTTTATCTTATACCTTTAAACGAGCAATTCTTGTATATTAATATTGAAGTGAAAACTTCTTTAGAATCGTTGTGATTTCAAACCGGATGCAACGGAAAAAACGACAGGTAAGAGACACAAATACAAAAATGTGTAGGATGAAGCCAGCAAAGAATGAGACAGAAATATACATACTATTTAATACAACGCCATCTGAGAGATTTTTTAATACTAACGTGTGTATGAAAGCTCTTGTAGTGAATTTTAATTTAGGATTATACGTGAAATTAAAATATCAATTCACAGAGGGCGCTACCTTACAATTATTTACTAATGACAAAATTTTACATATACTTAAGACGTTTAGGATAATTGTATTTTAATTTTGCAAGGTTTCACTTTACCACGTGTGAATTGCACACATTTTGTTTTTTTACTTATATAATCTGAATCTCGAAAACGGCTCAAACGATTTTCATAAAATTTAGTATACAGGGGATTTCGAGGGCGATAAATCGATCTAGCTACGATTTATTTTCAGACAATGTTGTTTTATTTGTGTTTTCAATAATCAACTCTTCCCGACATCTATTGGCGAATAATAATACTATTTTTCTTAATTGAGGGCAACTAACCGCTTTAAAGACACAACAAGATAGCGTTATCAAAAAAAACAAAAAAAATGAGCAAAGCTCGGTCATCATCTAGTGATTCGTTGTGAGCGCTGGATTGAGATACGCAGAGTGAATTGCATCAGCTTTTATACTTCCTTCTAAGACGTTGTCTAATCGAAATATGAAATTCATTTTGCGTTCTCTCACCCACCTTTTATTGTGCAGTTAAAATACGTTTTTCCTTTGATAGTGCGCAAGAAAAAAATGGTGATAATTTTGTTTATTTTTATTGAATAAATTTAATATTTATCGTAGTTAAAAAAACATATTACGTCGCGAAAAGTGTTGCCACAGAAAAATAAGTGCAAAGCTCCGTTAGGCAGCGACTTGGTGTCCACGAGCGACAGTAACCACTTACCATCAGGTGGGCGGTATACTTTTCTGCCTTCAGAGGCAACAAAAATACTATGAAAATACCAGATCACTACTATGTATATAATGTATTTATTTATTTATTTATATCAAAATACAGTTTAGCTTTGTAAAACTATAGCAATTGAGTTGCTCTTATAAAGAGAAACAACATTTAAAGCTATTGCTTCACCATTATTTTTATATCTTTTTATATTTTAATATTGCAAAAATGCTCTTTATATGTCTAATGTTCTAATGTTTCAATAATCGAAATTCTATTTATGTCATCTATAGAAGAATGANAATAATCGAAATTCTATTTATGTCATCTATAGAAGAATGATATAAATAACATATTAACCTCTTTAAGGATTAATCGTATAGAGGTTACATGTATATCAATAGCCAAACGAAATCCTTAGATATTTGATTAACAAAATGGTGACGGAATAAAAACAAAATATGTGTCATTTGATAATTTTATTAAACAAAAAGTAATATTTAATCAATGACTAGGTCGTTGTAAATGTATGATTTATTTATTCATATACAAAACATTAAAAATACACTGAGTGTTATTAATAGAAAAACTAAAAAAAAACAAAAAGAAATCTTTTTAAGAAAGAATTTCGTTAACAGACTATGCGTATTCATGTGTACAATGCAAATTATTTAGACACAAGCTTTGGTTTATATAAAAAATGTGAATTTACAATATGTATGAACTCCATTCGTTTTTTTTCTATTTAAATTTATGTTACAAATGCCCTCGTTGTAAAATGTTAATAATGCTAATGTTACAAAGTTCCCACCGATAAAAACAGTATTGTATTGTTTATTTATTTATTTATTTATTTTATTTAATATATTTTGTACACACAGCTGTTAGAAAAGACACGTCAATAAGGATACAGAGTACAAGGGCACTATTGTTATTATATATTATAAGTATTGTTCATTTTATTGTTTACGTAATAATGAAATATTGTTGTTTTCGTGAAACTGAAACAGAAAGAAAATGATTTGTTATGATTTCGAATTAAAAATAATACAATAACATCTTTCTATTAAAATTATCATTCCTGAAAATCAAGAAATATTTATAAAAATAGAAAAGAGCCTAATACTATTTTCTCTTCTGTTAGTCAACCAATTTTTTTGTATAGAAGTCATTGAGGAGTGTTAATATTTTATTATGAAATAAATATTGCAAAATTTTTTTATTCTCACAACAAAAACAAAATCAATAACAAAACAGAAGAGAAAATGAATTACATAAAACTAATTTAATGTTAAGGCGTCTGTAATTATGGTCGAATTTCGCTTAACTGACTAACTGGTACTAATAAACAGTTGTTAGAACGATGGAAAAAACTTAATAGAGACTACTCTGAGACCTGTTTTATTTTTCACACAACTTTTGATGTTATCACATGCGTTGACTCCGACTAAGATTGCGACTATGTTACAGTAATCGGTACTGCAAACTAATAGATCAGTGTTTCTCAACCACAGTGCGAAGGAATTTTTGTATATCACCAAATTATACATTAAAAATTATTGTCACATAGCCTAAGCAACTTTTCCGTGACAAAAAAAAGTTTGACAATCACTGCAATAGACAAAAGAGGCCATAATGCGAAATTATGTTTTAGCTATGTGCTAACTGTTCGCCTGTCAACCCGAAAAATACTAAAATATAGATTTATTAAAATTGAAAACGAAAAAATGAATCTCACCTTAAAACACTTGCACCCTATGATTCTCCCGATCACATACGATGATATTTCCACCGGTCATCACAGCGATTCCCTCTAATCCCTTAAATTCCCCGTCTCCGGAGCCCCAAGAGCCAAACGCCCTGAGGAAGGTTCCATCCGGATGGAATATCTGGATCCTGTTGTTACCGGAATCAGCCACTACGATGTAGCCTTGGTCGTCCACTGCTACTCCTCTGGAGAATACAAAAGGATGTCAATAAGAAAATCTAGATATGAGTTAGGCTTGGCTCGGCTTGGCTCTGCCCATGGCATTGCTGAAGTCCATGGGCGACGGTAACCACTCACCATCAGGTGGACCGTGTGCTCGGCTACTTACACGGGCAATAAGAAAATAAAAAAAAAAATGACTGAGGACTCTACCAATACGGGTATTAATCGTTCTAAATTTTGTTTTCTTCAGGCTTAGCATTTAGATTAGCACGAAGATTTAGCATTTAGATTCTCTGGTCTTTTCCGAAGCATATGTAAATTTAGTTGGTGGTCTATACTGGTGGTAGGACCTCTTGTGAGTCCGCACGGGTAGGTACCACCAATCAGCCTATTTCTGCCGTGAAGCAGTAATGCGTTTTGGTTTGAAGGGTGGGGTAGCCGTTGTAACTATACTGAGACTTTAGAACTTATATCTCAAGGTGGGTGGCGCACTTGCGTTGTAGATGTCTAGGGGTTCTAGTAACCACTTAACACCAGTTGGGCTGTGAACTCGTCCACCTAAGCAATCAAAAAAAAGTTATAGTTTCTACAACAGTTCTCGAAGCTTCCTTACAGATACAGCACCGGTCACCGTCCTCGTCGAACCCGTCACTTGCGACGAAGGGCTCGACGAGTGAATTAACCCATAGACGCAGCCCACTGAGTTTCTCGCCGGATCTTCTCAGTGGGTCGCGTTTACGATCCGGTGGTAGATTCTGCGAAGCACTGCTCTTGCTAGGACCAGTGTTAGCAACACTTCGGTTTGAGCCCCGTGAGCTCAACTACACACGTTAGGATGAAGCTGAAATAGCCTCTCAAGGCTATCAGCATAGGTAGGAAAAAATAGATACAGTACAAACTGCAGCTGCCAGTCTTCTGACCTGAATGGTCTACATAAAATGCGGTCGGCCGCGCTACTAATTTCGCTTTATGAGCGATTAAAGGCAGGACTTGTTCCTTGATATTTACGTCTCAAAAACTTGCGATGCTTATGAGCACGAGGCTTTTGTGGCTATCAGCTTTGAACATAAACAGAAAAAATCTTTTGCTTACATTTCAATTGACTTATTTACATATTTTTACTAACGGAAATCGGACGAAATTCATTCATCATGATTAAATTCATCTTATTCATAATTAAAATTAACTTCTACCACCACCCTGCCTATTTCTACCGTGAAGTAGTAATGCGTTTCGGTTTGAAGGGTGGGGCAGCCGTCGTAACTATACTTGAGACCTTAGAACTTAATACTCAAGGTGGGTGGAGCATTTACATTATGGATGTCTATGGGCTCCAGTAACCACTTAACACCAGGTGGGCTGTGAGCTCGTCCACCCACCAAAGCAATAAAAAAAAAAAACTTCAAGTGCTCAAAAAATTCTTTTTATCTAAATTGATAACTGTACTTATCAGTTAAAAATTATATTTTAATGAAATAAAACAACCTAGAACTCCCATTAACGATATGACATATTTTTCTGGCTGTAAAAATAATGCGCGTTCCCCGAATCATTCGGGGACGAATTTATTATTGTCTGGTCTCTCGCACCTTGACCGATTTCGCAACCCTATTTCCGAAGCGAATGCACGATCGAGTATCTATAACTTTTTATAAGCGGGCAGTTTTTGAAGTCCACAATCATGTGTTAGATTTTTATAATATGATCAGTGGCAATGGGCTGACCTTATTAACCGGGGAACCGATAACTGTTGGGGTAAATGTGTTCTTGATTGGGGACCGCGATTTGGTAAAGGAAGTGCAGGATGCCCTCAGACTCGATGGAATGGCGATCTATGGAGGGTGGCTGGCAAGAGCTGGATGAGAGAAATCGAGGATCATGCTCAGTGGCATGCGATTGGAGGGTCTATGTCCAGCAGTGGACTGCTATAGGCTGATGATGATGATGGTGTTGAAGGTTATCAGGAATCTTCAAGATTCTGCTCTTATAGCTTAGTGCAGCAATGAGGCTGCCGTATTGCACATGATGATATTTATTCAATGTGAAAAATATGCTCACAAAAACCGCATTACATTCTGTGAATAGCTAACGCCCACTTGATAGCGCCGGACTATGAGTAGATTGATACAATGATAGTAGAGTAGGTAGATAAATATTTTAAGCCAATATTAGGGTTTAATTTCGGGTTTCGAGTACGTGATTCAGATACGTGGTCGTGATAGAGGACGACCTAGCTGGTGTTCGTCGTCATTTGAATATTATTTTAACTACCGTCAAATTTATCATTAACTTTTTTATTGATTCCGTTCCACAAAACTACTAAACGGAACATCTAACCATAAAATAGTTTTAATTACTTTAAGAAAGTGTGAAAAAATAAGAAAATTATATGGCAATGGTTGTAAATAAAGTTCATAAACTATCTTCTCGTTTTCTACAGGGCCATGATTACCAATGCAATGAATACATGATAAGTTGAGGTGATTTTTGAAAATTTCGAGCAGTTTAGTTGCGAAATTAGAATAGCATGTCTAATTCATTTTCCGAAGTGGATATCTAGTTGTTGACTTAATTATGATGATGATGCAATTTTTTAATTTTATTTTTATTGCTTAGATGGGTGGACGAGCTCACAGCCCACCTGGTGTTAAGTAGTTACTGGAGCCCATAGACATCCACAACGTAAATGCACCACCCACCTTGAGATATAAGTTATAAGGTCTCAAGTATTGTTACAACCTTTCAAACCGAAACCCATACTGCTTCACGGCAGAAATAGGCAGGGTGGTGCCACAAGAGGTCCTGCCACCAGTAATGTATATATACTATTTTTTAATTAACGGCATTAGAATAAAGTTACACAAACCTCGGGAACTTAAACTGGCCATCTTCGGACCCTTCTTCGCCGAACGAAGACAGAACTCTACCGTTTACATCGAAGACCTGGATCCTGTGGTTGTTCGAGTCTGAGACCAGAACGCGGTTGGTGCTGGAAACCGCAATGTAATGAGGATGTTCTAGTTGACCAAGCTTGGCCCCGAAGGAACCAAATTTACCCACGAAGGTGCCGTCGGATTGGAACACCTAAGGAGAATAAAAGTAAATAAGATTAAAGCCTTGGATGAAGAATTTTTTTTATCACAAACGCGGGAAAGAATCAAATAGCCAGAAAGAAAATTGGAGAAAAGAGCAGACTGGATTGTAGTCGGTTTTTTGGGGACCATCCTAATCTCTTAAATTGGGAAAATATTATTTTTATTCGTCTTTAGTTAATCATTTAATCTTTTGATTTATTTGGAGGTAAGTAGAAGTCCATTACAACTAATAATAACAATTCTATCATATACCCAGAAAGTTTTTGCGTGTCGTCGGCTAAGAGATTTAAAAATCTTCAATTGTTGAATAATTACCCTATATTCCAACAGGCCAGAATTGGTTTTTAGAAAGAAAAAAACACGGTTTCTCTCGATAGAATAATAACCTTCATAGTGCGATTCTTTTTTTGACAATTCATTTCTTTTTCTAGCAATTAATTTATTGGAAAAATTGCGCGGCGCATCTGCCGTAGAGGCTTATTAAAGTGCTAATGAAAATTGCTTTTCTGATTGGTTTTCTTTCGCGATAATAACGTTTTGTATCTTTCAACTTTTTTTATCTTTGCATATTATTTAGACTACAGTGTAATTTTATCCATTAGTGTAACATTACCATTTATTTTTATTATTAGTCTTGAGTAGAATTTTACAAAATAAATTTAGTACTTCATTAAGTTTTATTTTATTAGTAGCTAAAATAATTGTAATCTGTGCTAATGCGTGTGCCTAAATTTTAATATTTATGATTGATTTAAATTAGAAACTTAAAAACTTAGACATTCGTTACTTTTAAAAGCTTAGATTAAAGTTTCGTTGCACTGCAATAGCGATTAACCTTTGAAAGGTTCGCGGACCTCAAAATTGACTTGGTGTACAGATATTGCGATGATCCTCTGTCAGTGGTTCCATTATCACGAATAGACCCATATAAGTGAATGTACATTTTCTATACTTTTGTATTAGTACTTATTACCAGTATCACTAGTGGTAGGACCCTTTGTGATCACCAGTGGTAGGACCCTTTGTGAGTCCGCACGGGTAGGTACCACCACCCCGCCTATTTCTGCCGTGAAGCAGTAATGCGTTTCGGTTTGAAGGGTGGGGCAGCCGTTGTAACTATACTGAGACCTTAGAACTTATCTCAAGGTGGGTGGCGCATTTACGTTGTGGATGTCTATGGGCTTCAGTAACCACTTAACACCAGGTGGGCTGTGAGCTCGTCCACCCAAATAACCAATAAAATATATATATATATATTATATACGTACTGTTTATATAATTATATATGTAAAAGATGCTGTAGGAAATGTAAAGATACATACTAGAGCAACTAAGCTGTCTTCTGTACCTACCTGCACTCTATGATTTTCCTTATCACACACGTATATGAATCCGAGGGCGTCAGTGGTGATGCCCCATGGGTAGTTGAACTTGCCGTCTCCGGTACCTTGGCTCCCGAAGGCTCTTAGGAAGCGACCTTGAGGGTCAAAAACCTGATTAAAGAAAAAAACGAAATCAGTAAACGGTATCCTAAAATTATTCACTTTATAATTGCTCTATTTTTCTGCTTTATTGGGTATTATAGAGCTTATGAATAATCTACTTAATTTTAATGTTTGCTCAGTCGCATTTTGACTGTAATTACTGACATCTCAAAGCTTAAATTCACTTTATGTATTACATTTTCTATCTTATTTTGTTAATTGTCTTGTAAAAGTTTGGAAGATAATTAAATTCATAACTAAATAACTTTCTTCACCAACACGTACATATATTAATATTGATAACACCGAAAACCAATAACTATAAAACAAAAATTAATAAATGAGAAGAGAAAGCCATATAAGTGTTATATTTTTGCCTATTTACGTATTTCAGCTTTACTTTTTCGATCGTTTTGAATTATTTACGAGTATTACGTATAGAAAAAATTTATTATTTAAGACGTTGTCGATGTTACGGTTTTGAAAATGGTTTCCTTGTATCTTGTAGAAAATGATTCAATTTTAAATCACTTCCTTTTCCCCTTCCTATCTATCTATCCCTTCCCTTTCCCCTTCCTTGTTGGGGTTGAGTCTTGGTGACGTCTGGAACTTGCGGAGCAGACGTGCGTGCGAACTCACGGGGCGTGATTGTTTGACGGGGGTATAGGGAGACCCAGTGAAACGGTACCCGCTGCCGCCCGCCGGTCAGTAGGGGACCTGAACCCGGGTGTCTCTACTAAACTCCGCCCCGGGAAGCTGTCCCGCCAACCGGTGTAAAATCCTGTCGTGCGGTCGTCGTGCCGGAGTCGGANAAAAAAAAAAAAAACTTCAATGTTACTTAATTCTCAAAATTCCTTTGAAATTTGACAGTGGATTCAAATCGTTAGTGCAGCAAATAGTTAGCAGACGCTAAAATTTAACAATAATAAAAGATGACTCATCAGAACAAAAGTTGTGCTTTCAGTTTGTGCCAGACTAATCAACTTATAACAAGACAAGCGGCCTGCTCCGGCTTCGCTCGGGTCTTTAACAAAAATTCCAACGATATTTGCAGTTGTTTAATTTTTTAAAATAAAAGAACACTTATTGCGGCATAACTATAACAGTTAGACATATGATGTCGCGACACTTTTTGTAAATAATAATGAATTATTTTATTCTATTAGGTAATTTTTTTACACCTTGGGTTACATTGTTGGAGTTTTAATAAGGATCCCCCCTGATTTTTTCAAAGATTATAGCCTATGTCAATCGGGAATAGTGTGGCTTCTAAACAGTGAAAGAATTTTTCAAATCGGTTCAGTAGTTTCGGAGCCTATTCAATACAAACAAACAAACAAATGTTTTCTCTTTATAATATTAAGTATAGACAAAGATATTTGTGGCGTCCTACAGCGGCAGGAATTACCGTGACCGAACTGCCAAGGAGTTGGTCGCAAACGAATAATGTTTTACGGAGAGAACTGTATATTAATTAAATACAACATTTTAACAACACAAAGGAATTTTCTTCGGTATCTGCGAGCTATAAAACGAGTTATTTTTATTATTTGTAATTATATTATTTGTGATGTTTCAAATCTTTTATAGTTTATGACAGACGAATCATCCATGAAAATAAGTTTTAATTATATCTCAGAGGAGTAGTGAAAGATTTTGAAGGAAAGTTATTGGATTAAAATTGTTTACTCCGTTGGTGTTTTTGGATGGATTGGAATGGATGTCTGCTTATGACTGTGATTACCAGAATCGTGTCCACCACATAGATAATCCCAGTCACAATAATATTAAAATAATAGCACTATCGTTCAAACTGGAGTGTATGATACATTAGTAGTATTCTGAGCGGTGATAGTACATTCGTACGACTTATCACTAATGGATACGTCGATTTATAATATTAATGTGTTTTCTTGCATCACAAAATCCAAAGTGCCGATCGTAAATATGTAATATCACAGACGATAACTTCATTTAAAACGTTACTAGATCTGCTAGCTCTGTTCAAAATATTTTCATTTTATTCAAAGTATTTTTTTTTTATACTCAAAAGCCGGAAATTGAAAATGAGTTCGCTGTTTTAAAAGAAAGCAGAAAACTACATTAGCCATTTTTTAATAAGCACCGTTTCCATAAATCGGATTCAAAAAATAAACTAAAATGTCGTGAGCTCTGAAGAGATGAATCTAGTTTTCATATTGAAGTTCACTATATTTTTTTTTTCTTTGTTGCTTAGATCGGTGGACGAGCTCACAGTCCACCTGGTGTTAAGTGGTTACTGGAGCCATAGACATCTACAATGTAAATGCGCCACCCACCTTGAGATAAAGCTCTAAGGTCTCAGTATAGTTACAACGGCTACCNACTAAAATGTCGTGAGCTCTGAAGAGATGAATCTAGTTTTCATATTGAAGTTCACTATATTTTTTTTTTCTTTGTTGCTTAGATCGGTGGACGAGCTCACAGTCCACCTGGTGTTAAGTGGTTACTGGAGCCATAGACATCTACAATGTAAATGCGCCACCCACCTTGAGATAAAGCTCTAAGGTCTCAGTATAGTTACAACGGCTACCCCACCCTTCACACCGAAACGCATTACTGCTTCACGGCAGAAATAGGCAGGGCGGTGGTACCTACCCGTGCGGACTTACAAGAGGTCCTACCATCAGTAAATTAAATTCCTCGTGTATCTTGGTATCAGTAGGACGGTAAATATTCCTCGTGTAACAGCAGGACGGTGGTAAGATTCGCGGTGGTTAAAAATTCAGTATCTACCTGTATGCGATGGTTGTATCTATCAGCTATGATGTACTGCCCAATGCGGTTAACAGCAACTCCTGCTAAGCAGTCAAACTCGCCTTCGCCGCTTCCATACTGACCGAACTCCTTGATGAATATTCCATTAGAGTCGAACACCTGGAGAAAAAATATCCGCATGAGTATTAGAGAACAGAAAATAACGGATGGAAGCAGGACGTTTCCGAAACACTGGATACAATAACCCATTTAACGTAAGAGAAAAATAATAACTATTCACTTTTTTTTATTTATTGCTTAGATGTTTGGACGAGCTCACAGCCCACCTGGTGTTAAGTGGTTACTGGAGCCCATAGACATCTACAATGTAAATGCGCCACCCACCTTGAGATATAAATTCTAAGGTCTCAGTATAGTTACTACGGCTATCCCGCCCTTCAAACCGAAACGCATTACTGCTTCACGGCAGAAATAGGCGGGGTGGTGGTACCTACCCGTGCGGACTCATAAGAGGTCCTACCACCAGTGACTCAGGTGAATATAAATACTTGTCGTTTTATTTCTTTGACCCGTAAACAAAAGTTAAGGTAGTTAGATATCGCTCACGTTCCTCTCAGGTCATTGAACTCGCATGTCAGTAAAGTTAAAATTATTTCATCGCGCATTGAGGGCGATAGAAAAAAAAACCCATTAAAACGAATATTTCAGATAGGGTTTTTTGGTTTTGGTATCATTAGTTATTTTAAGTGTCTTCTTTATCGAAAATAGTTGCGATACAATGCATGTTAAATGATCATCTTTGGGAAAGTTATAGTATTTGAACCCGAGTAATTCTTTCTCGAAAGGTCTATTTTAGCCAAAATAAAGCCAATCCCCGAATAGGCAGCGGCTTGGCTCTGCCCCTGGCATTGCTGACGTCCATGAGCGACGGTGACCACTTACCATCAGGTGGGCCGTATGCTCGTCTGCATATAAAGGCAATAAAAAAAAAAAGAATAGCTATTTATATATTATTATTTGTGTTAGCATTGTGGGCGGAAACAACCTGGATATCTATCCCAATAACCATGAAGTCAAAGTATATAGCATAGGAATAACAAAAATATTTAGCTTTGAAAGAAAAATTTAGCTGTACTGTTAAAATAGATAACGCGGTGGCACACACCAAAACGCTGCCTTAGAAGACACCTTGTCAATGTTAGGTAATATCAAAGAGATTTTTATCATCGCTTTACTTGAGGAGTAAAGTAACTTACTTGAGACCTTAGAACTTATATCTCAAGGTGGGTGGCGCATTTACGTTGTGGATGTCTATGGGCTCCAGTAACCACTTAACACCAGGTGGGCTGTGAGCTCGTCCACCCATTTAAGAAAAAAAAAAAAAGGAGTAAATGCTTTGTTTATAGTATAAGAAAAATTTCATGAGCTTCTGCTCTAAATAATGACGACAGTACGAATCTAAATTTCGCTCGTTCGCTACGTTTTTGGCTCAAGGTCAAGACGGAAAACGCTAAAAATATTCGCAACATTTACCTATAATCATCTGTATAATGGACTTGTTCATAAATCGTATTCAATTGAGACGGATTTCCAACTTACGGACCGGGGATCTGAGATTGACAAATGAATTAGATTGAAAGAGGGCAGGATAATCCTTTCAACTTGTCGAATAATTTATTAGTTTTTGATTGGATTGCCGTTAAAGTCATTGACTGCAATTATTTTTTTCATTGCAAACACAGAAAGAATTATCGTCTATCTGCCGGAAACAATTTTTTTGAATATCTATTTGTGAAGGTCATTAGTTTTATTGTGATAAAGGAAGACATTAGTGGATTTAAGATATTTCAGCTGTATGGTGGTTTTGATAAAAGTTTTTAATGCGTAGTATTTTACCTGTACTCTGTGATTTGACGAATCGGCCACGACCATAGTATTATCTGGACCTACAGCGATACCACGAGGCCATGTGAAACAACCAGGTTCGCTCCCCCGACTCCCCACGCTGAACTGTAATCGGCGTTTCTGCAGATACTGGCTCCTAGGGGAGGAACCTGCTGCTGCGAAACCTGCCGTCAACAATGAATAATTAATATTAATGAACAAAACGATATGGGTCTCACTCATCGAAGCACTATGTACACGCCACTCGTCGTTCTAACCTGCTACCGCTGCTGTAGCCGCCGTAGGGGAGATGGGGGAGCCTGCCGCGTTTTTTGAATCGTCATCAGAACTGGCAAGCTCGTTTGCCGAGCGTAAAGGCAGCCCGAGAGACAGACGACGCGACGCGCTCGAGGACGTGCCACTCGTGTCTCGTTCTTTACCGCGCGAGCCGTACTTGTTTTTCAAGTACCTTGCCCACGAGCTGAGTGCTGCTCCATCTTTCTCGCCAGTCGGTGGTCGTTCTGGCGAGCTTTCTCTAGACTTCAGCGCGTGAGATGACCTGCTACGAGACAACTCCGACCCTCCGGTCCCGGAGCCGTACCGAGCCGCCAAATACGCCGATGGCGATGCCGTGGTTGGAGACACAGGCTCGTCCTGATCATCGTCGTCTCCCGCACCGAATCCGGTGTGACTACTTTTACTTCTTGCGAGACGGTTTCGCCGTTCTTTTAAGGCGAGATATCTCGATCTGGCCGTTGGATATTTAGAATCATCATCTATGGATGACGTCGTTTCTTCTTCTCTTGGCTTGCTGCCATAACGATTGTTGTAAGAAGAACCGGCACCGTATCGTGGTGCGGGCTCCTCTTCAGTTTGAGATGGTTGCCTTGATCGGTACCGAGTTTGTGAAGGTGGAGGATCTTTGGATTTGTTATCATGAGCATCACTGCGAGCATTTGAACTACGCGCGAGTAAAGGGCCGATGTCACTACGAGCCATCGCCTGGCTCTCGGGCTTTCTTTGAGGTGCAGGCTCCTCTTCACTCTCCTCTGACGAATCTGTTTCCTCTTCGGAACTCGTATCTGAATCTTCATCGTGCGCCGGCTCGGCGGGAGCCGGAGCGGGCGTAGGTCTCTGCGAGCCAACAAAGCGGCTCTGTACCCGTTGCGCACCTCCAGCTGTACCGTTGGTTGTAACCGGTGCAGTTCTCTCGTTTCCTGTGGAACATAATCGAGGATTTGGTTTTGGCCCACCACTGCAATATTTTGCTTTTAATTCTGCGATGGTTAATATTGCACCTGTATGCTTAACCGCCGAGCCAGAACTTTCTGTAGATGCGCTTGATTCTGTGCTAGGTGCTCTTGCAGCCGGTCTATGTGGTGTAGGAGCATCCGCGGATGGTCTTCTACCGGTCGCTGCGGGTTTTTGTACTGGAGGTGGAGCTTTACGTTGTTGAGTACGTTGTAAAGATCCGACTGATTCATCAGATTCACCATCGCTTGACGCCTGAGAAATATATTGAAATTCGATTTGGACACCAATATGGTAGATATAATAAATTGTGTTGTGTATGTGTATTTTTGAAGAGGTCAATGAGTTAACGTGGAGTGTACATTTATGGAATGCCGTTAGTTTTTTTTGCGTTTTTCTTGTTAGTATCGATGATTTTTCTAGATTCTACGTTGTACTGCAATTCTAATTCACTCTCGTTCTTCTTCCCAACTCACCTCCCGAGCTGGTGTAGGTGGTTTGCGTGCTATCGAAGTTCTTTCTTCTTCAACAGGTCTCGGGGCTGGACGATCTGGTTCTTGTGATGAAGCTGCGCCTTTGTTTTGTCTTTTAAGGCGTGTTATTTCATCATCCTCACTTTGTTGCCTTTGAGCAGGTGGAGGACGGCGAGGTTGCGGTGTCGGTTGAACTACGGGCTTAGGTGGTGGCGGAGGTTCTTTCTTCTCTTTCTTCTTTCCACTTTCTGCATCCATAATTCGTTGCATTACTCGTGGACAATCGCTTAGCCTGAAAATGCCGCTTAGAGGTCCTCTGGTAGCATCTTCTGTATCTACAACTTTCTCTTTTTCCTTCTCTTGTTTTTCTGTTTTAGCTGAACGAATACTTTGTTCTGTATCAGAATCGTTGTCTTGTTGGTGACTTCTAACAAAACGTGAGCGGAACCTACGGGGTCGGTGCTCAGACTCATATCCGCTATAGTCATCCGTGACATTATAATCTCGGGTATGTCTTTCGGGCGGTGGCGGTCTACGTTCTCCGAACTTACGTCCGCCAAGAATCGGTTCATCGTTTTCGTAGTAATTCTTGGATTCTTCTTGCTGTCTAAATTGCGTCGCCAAGCGATGGTCACTCTTCGATCTAGTTAGACCTTGACTTGGCTGTAGACCCCCAGAATAAGCGTTGGGTTGAGTTATATTCAATTCTCCATAGCTAGCGACATGCATTACAAGTTGGTTGGGGTCGTGCGTCATAATGAATCGCACTCTACGATTGTAATCGCCAGCTTCGTAATCGAAGTTCCTTAAGAATTCCACAGTTTTTAGGAAAATTTCCTTCGTGTCCATAAGTTCTGTGTCTTCCCATTCAGTGTCATCGTTCATATGCTTTTCGGCGAGATCACAATTACTTTGTATGTTACTTAATTCTAATTCTAAATTATCTTTGAGATGAGTTAGATTTCTAAGCTCAGTTGCTAGATACCGATCTACTTCAGTGCGCAAGAAGTCGGTTCTATCTTTCAGAGCTTTGGCGAGCCTTTTGTGAATTTCGTCGACTTCACCCGCAACTGCTGCGCAGTTTGTTTGGAGATTCGTCGTGTTGCGTTCGACAACACCCAAAATATCTTGTAGCCTGTTCATGCCACGACGGACTTGATTATTTATCCTTACAATTTCGCGACGTAATACCTCCATGTGAGCAGATTTGCAGTCATCACAAACTTTTTTGTCACAATGTGCACATAAAGCGCAGTACGCTTTTTCTGAGCAAACATTGCACCTTTCCATAATTTGCCCAGCAGTAGGGTCTGGAAGTTCCCCAGCAATTTGAGCGTGGAGCTCCAAAAATCTTTGGAGCGTTACATTTGTGGGGAACCCTTGAACTCCCTGATAGGGAATTCGATGCTCTGCACGGCATTCTGGACATTTGACCTATTGAATAAAAATGAAATTAATTTTGAAACATAATAATTGTTGTTTAAGTACTCCGTTCGTCAAAGCTAGTGTATCATCATACCTGTCGTCTAACGTAGTCGACTAGGCCGTCCATGCAGGGCTCCATACAGAAGCTGTGCTGGCATGGCAGCAACTTAGGATTCCTGTACCGGTCCAAACACACGCAGCAAGTCAGCAGCGATTCAAACTGCTCCATTTTTGCTTAACCTCGCTTATGTATCTGTGAGCAAGAGATATTTCATTACAATAGATCAGTTATAATTTCTTCACATAAATAGTATTTTTAGAACATATTAAAATGCTATTACGAATTATTCTAGAATGTACATTATATTCACAATGATCGATCCTGTCAAATTTATTATTATATGAGATAGCAAATAAGAATGTAAGTACAATTTAAATGTAGGTATTTTAATATATGCAGATGGAAAGCTCATAGCCGCTTCCTGTTATTTGGTCAATGAAAAGTAGAATACGTCATTACCGACAGATATAAATACTTATAATATATATAATAAATTATATGATATATTATGTAATATATAATAAATGATTCTATCTAGATGAACTGATATTCACTGGTGGTAAGACCTCTTGTGAGTCCGCACGGGTAGGTACCACCACCCTGCCTATTTCTGCCGTGAAGTAATGCGTTTCGGTTTGAAGGGTAGGGCAGCCGTCGTAACTATACTTGAGACCTTAGAACGTATGTCTCAAGATTGGTGGCGCATTTACGTTGTAGATGTCTATGGGCTCAAGTAACCACTTAACACCAGGTGGGCTGTGACATCGTCCACCCACCAAAGCAATAAAAAAAAAAGAACTATCTCCAATATGGAGTTTTAACCAATGCTTTTTAGCAACAAATAGGCACTGTAAAATGTATATTCATTTAACGATACCCGATTGAAAACGAAACTATTTAAAAAGCTACAAGATAATTGAAATGTATCTAAATGAACTATCCAATCTAGTTAACGATTCACTCCAATTAACAGAGACAGCTAACTAGCTATAACTAAATTTGGTGCTAAAACTCTCTTTGATCGTATTAACTGAATCAAAGGTGATCTGATTTTGGTGACAGTTAATTTACGTATAATGGAACTTAATGAACCGATAATGGCGTACAAACGAGCAAAGCACACAGATTTAATATTAATTTGGACAATAATCGGTTAGTGGTTTTGGATTATTGGTAATGAAACGAAAATTTTGGTTGAAGATAATATAATAAATTTATTTTTGATTTTGTACAATTATTAAATATTTCGTTGACACAGTTCAGTGATACTGTGAATTGTTTTTTAAAGATCACTGATTCAAAACTTGAATGTAATTTATTTTCGTACTACAGTGAATTATTTTACAGAGACAATTTGAATTGTTATTTTTTTACATTGTTATTTGGGGTGTGATGTTGCACGGGTATATTCTATTTTAAATGTTATAAATTAACTGCACGATGATAATTTATTTAATGAAAAACTAGCAAAATCGCTATTGAAAAAATATTACGCGTCAAACAAGAAGGTTAATTTATGTAATGAAAAACAAGCAAAATCGCAATTGAGAAAGATAATACGCGTCAAACAAATTCAGCCCTTATCTTCACAAAAAACTATGTTTATTTATAGGAGCACCGGCTGAAATATTCTTAACGCGATTACTAAACATCAGTCGGTTTCTAATTTAGTTTCCATGGCATATCCTCATCGAGCTGCCGTTTATAAATAGAGTCGCTTTTCACACGGCCCGGTCAGCGGGAACTGTAAGTATTTGACTTTACAATGTTAACGTCAAACACAGCGAATGCACCTCTGGTTATTTTCAAGGTATGGGTGCATATTTTCTTCTGTTAATTAATTCTGCTATTTACGTACATTAAAAATGTACAGAGTTTGTTTGTTGGTGACAAACAGCGCATCGAGAACTAAATGGGCGATATTTCGAGGAAACAGTAACTTTAGGCACGAATGTAATATTTAATGTGAGTGAAATGCCAGAGCCTTTGTATTTTTTGATAAATATCTTCTTAATGAGATACGTAGACATTTCTTTAACAAGATAAAAAAGAGTGTTCGTGATAAGACACATCCAAAGTAAAATTCAAAGATTTTAAAATGTTTCATCTTCTAACGTAAGAATAGTTGTATGTTTTGTAAGCTTAATGTCAATGGGTAGCTAAATTCTTTTTTGCAGATTGCGTGTAGCACTTGACTTTGAGAAAATACATAATAAAACTTCTGGGTTTGTTACGTCATCACAGCTCACATTCTGTTTTGGGCAAAGCATTTACGTTTTTATTGTGCTAGATGTTTAAATGAACTCACTTCGAGGCATGAGGTGAAAGTCACTGAGGAGATTACTGGTAACCCGGAGGTCTTTCCAGGTTTACCGGGGCAGGTGGGCGAGCAAGGGCTCAGCCAGGAAAGCTGGGATTTGCTAAAAGCTACCCGAGCGCCTCCAAAGGAGACCTAACAACTCAAGAGTAGCTGCTTCGGAATTAATCTACCACCGGATCGGAATCAATCACGAATCCATTGTTTATGTTCTTCTATACAAAAGGAGAACGCATAATTGCAAAGCGGCAAAAATAGGTTTCAAAATTCGAACCCAAAATTCTAACAATACAACTATCAGTTTTTTGTAATATCTTTTGTCTACTATTACATTATAAGTAAATTAATTGTTTGTTCTAATTGTGTTAACAAATTATATTAATCTACAAAATAGAGAATGTGTATTTTGTTTGAGATGAGTAGATCGGAAAGCAATAACTTTATTACAAAGATATCTTCAAATTTATCTGTTTGTGATATTGGTCGTTGGAGCTGCCGAAAACCGAAGCAACTGAAGGCATTTGACTCAAACTGCGAGGAAAATTCACCTTCGAATATGAAGACCACGCCCGAGAATAAGATCTTGAAATACCAAACAGTCCAAATGCATCAGTTTTAAGGCGGAATATTTTCTGTGGCCTTCATACGCCATTTATACTTTAATGTTTCAGCTGTTTCCTTGCATGGCCGCAGACTTATTTTAGGAACGAATTTATTGCCATGTTATCGGGATTGACGTTACGATGCCTCCGGTAGTCGCTTAATATGAATTGGCCCGAGAGCCCATCTACCAACATGGGCTAAAAAATCCAATTTTAAAATGGATTAGATTAGAATGGATGGATTAGATACAAAAAACTCCGCTAATCACCGCGCATGAAATAGCCGCTGCGTGTCAAACTTAAGGGTTTTACCTATAAGACTATAATAACATAGGCTGCAACCCAAAAGAACGCGCATACCATCTAAGTTGCTGAAATAAAGATGTTGAGGTGGATGTGTGACGTAACCAGTCTGGGTAAAATCCACAATGGGTGCGTGGAAGCCTCGGTATACGTGACATTTCCGATAAGATGCAGGAGAGAAGGCTGAGATTGTACGAGTATAGTCACGTAAAAATGAGGTCATCAGACTACATCGAAAATTTGGCGCTTCAGGTCGATTTCCTCGGTCAGAGACCTAAAGGAAGGCCCAAAAGAAGGCGAAAAGATGTAGTCCTCAAGGACAACAGGAAATGCAATGTTACCGACGAAGATGTCAAAGACAGAACACAATAGAGGAGGGATAAGGAAAGTTGATCCCGCCACCCTCAGCTCGATCGGAGACCTAAAGGAAACCCCAAGAGAAGACAGAAAGATGTAGTGGTGAAGAACAAGAGGAAATACAACGTTACTGAAGAGGATATCGAAAACTGAGCGAAATGAAGGAGAAACATAAAAAAAGTGGACCCCGCCACCCTGTGGGATGAATAGCTAGGAAGGGAGAGGATTAGATACAAAAACCGTATATTTTGAAAATAATATTCTTCTCAGTAGCAAAATGGGATTCCGAATATGTTGTAACATGACAATTTAAAAGCATCTGAAAACAAAACTACGTGCATAAAATAACCATTCTGATTTTGACTTAATTGTTTGGCTGCGAATGCTTTCTGTATTGGTTTAACGAGTAACAAGATGACTATATTGCTTTTCGTGGCTCACACTGACGCCGCTAGCCAGAGGCCGTTCGTCGATTTCCTCCCGACTTCGAAATAAAACCACGCGTCACAAGCTTATGATAACTATTAAAAAATTATCGTTTTCTTTTTGGCACGCAATTGTTTTTCCATAGAAACCCACGCAGATTTTGGCAAGGTCTTTTGCACAATGAGAAGTCTGGTTTTTTTTTCAACTAAACCAAATCAACAGTTGTTCGGAATACGTTTTGAATACATTTTGGCATTGTCGTTCGTTCGAAAGATGGTGGTAACAGGGATAATTTAAAAATGTGTGTCATTATTTCGTTAGACTTGTCACGAGGGTGACAAGTCTAGTCTTGTCATGAGTGTGTCTTGTATTGCTGAGTCACTGTAAAGCTTACGTGTGTTTTGTTGGTAATGTGATGAAAAATGAAAAGGTTGTTTTAATGTTATGTACGTATATAAGAAGCGCTTTATAAACGTATATAAGATCAGCTTTTTTTCCCTACCTAGGCCGGTGGTAACCTTATAGGGTTATACCAGCATAAGATGCAAGTGAGCGCATTCTGTATTCCAACACATATCAGAACTCACCAGAACGGTATGGATAACGTGACCTTTTTTTTTTTTTGTCAAAGCGGGTACATCTGCGGAATTATATAATAAAAAAAGTATTTAATGTTCTAAAAGTACATATTTCCTTATAGAAGATAGAATAACACAAAGCACTAAACACGAAATAGTTAGCACTCTGTAATAGTCTGTACCTCTTTTGTTAAATTAGCCCATTTAAACCCTTCTAGCTCTATGTTGAATTGAAAAATAAATTTATCGTTTGGTATTTTTGCAAAAGCGGAACTATGTCGGCCTCACTGGGGACATCGGGACAGAATGCCCGAAAGCGTAACTGTCCCGCCCAAATCGGGACGTATGGTCACATTAGGTATGGATAATGTGCGCCCGAATCTAATCTCCAATTGCATTAAATATCCAGTGTACGTGATAAAATAAACAGAAATCTTCCATTTAGTAATGTTAGGCCTAAAAATTAGGCTAAAATAAGAACTTCTAATCGTGATATAACTGTTATGACGTCACGATATTTATTTTCAAGTGTGCGACGCGTGTGTGACGTAAACGCGTGCGAGACAGATAATGTTGGTAAACAGAACCTAGAAAATTAAGTTTTGAGAA